ATGATATAATGAATTAAATTTTAAGATTAATTATTAAGTTAACAACAATTTAATGGAGAATGAAATTTCATTTTGTTTATTTATTTATTTAAACACATAAATATTGGTACAAGGGGGCACCAGATATATATGCACAACACAAATCTCATTTGATTTGTGTGAGGGCTGTGATAATGCCTAGTTACTGAAACTGAAGTAGGTGGTTTGCTAAGGAGGTCACACCCGGAGCCTTTGACTTAAAGGTCTGAACCATTGTCTGAATTGGATGTTTGTCCCCATCCGAAACGGATTGGACTTGATTTGTTTTACTTAAATTTTGAAGTTGTTTGTTTATAACTTTGACCTCAGACATTTTTTGTTTGGTACTTTAGCAGTTTTACTCGTAATTTACGAATAAACTTTTGTGTGTGAATAGGAATTATGCTTTCTTATTATTTGGATGGTAAGTTGTGAGTGTATCAATAGACCGTACTTTAATAATGGACTGTAGGGGATGGCACTATATCAAGCCCATATAGGTTATTCTATCCTCTGGACAGACTAGTCTATTCATTCTTCTCAAGCCACATTTTTACCCTGTCATTTATTCACTTATTAATCCCGACTCTTTTATATAATCGTATGCGTGTTAATTACTAAACAGATTCATTATGTGTCTGAATATAAATGTTAAGTAACTCTTCATCAAATGGAGTTGGCTCACTCACCTTCTCCACTGCGCGTCCTTTCGCTTTGCTCTCGCCTCTTCGCTTCGTTCCTCTGATTGTCTGTTCCGATCAACAATTATGTGAATCATACGTATTCGAAATCCATTCTCGTATTTGATTTATTTGATTCCGTTATTCACTAACAGAAGTGAACGAGGTTAGCCAGAATGTATATCACGATAGTAATCATTCGTACGATCTAATTAGACTCAGATACCTGACCACTTAATTTGGTGAGTCCATCGACAAAAGTATCGATAAAATAATCGTTCGATCTAATTTGCTTTAAAATCAAAGGCCACATTAGGACCAGATCAGAATTTAGACGTAACATGCTTACAAAAACAAATCTTGCTGGTAATTATTATGATTAAAACTTTGAATAGTGTTAAGTAGATAAGAAGTGATTTAAGATACTAAATAGAAAATATTGTAAATATATATGTGCTGTGCAAGAACATTGTACAACATGGATATTAACTTCATCCCCAGTGACTTAGGAACAAGTGGTTACTCAGTGAACTAACCCAAGTAATTGGTAAGAATAAAATAATGTGCATATATCTGAGTTAGTTTAAAATAAATCACTAAGCTAGAAGCCAGCTAGAAAATTCATGCTACCAATGAGAAATAAGATCGATACAGAAATCAAGTTCCTGAATCTTAACAGTGATATCATCAGGAAACTACAAGAAACTAAAACTTGTCTATATAATAATAACTTCAGAAGGTCTTTAAGATCAAGTAAAAGTTTAAATGAATGCAAAGCATTCAACAGGTTGACTATATTTTCATAGTTGAGTGCGTCAATTGAATCTAGACCACCAAGGAAAACCTGGAAGCACTGGTCGGTCGTTTCGTTCCATTATGGGACTCCTCAGAAGTGCGCATCTACGATACCGCACTCGTGAGGTTCGAACACAGGACCTGCCACTCTCGCACCAGAGCACTTAACCGATAGACCACTGAGCTGGCCGGCATCCAACGGTGTTAATGTCTAACTTCAACTGGTGGTCTAGCTTCAATTGACACACGCTTTCAACTATGAAAATACTAAATCTCCACAAAATCCCTTTTGATAAGTTGACTATATATTTAAAAGGAAGAATAAATTAACAGTCTTGAACTTGATTCACTGTTGATAGTCCATGGGTGCTCATTTCTGAGCAGCCTCAGACTAGGATAGAAGAGCCTTTAAGTGCTTTATTGGTTGCCTTTAGTAATCTTACTTTTTTAAAAAACTTCTCTTCAGACTATCTAGAAGGTCCTGCAATAGTTTTCATAGGAATTAAATCGAAAATACTTTATGTCTATATATTTAATGAAAGAATACAATAGAAGGTATAAGGAGACAATACAAATAGTATAATTTCACTTTTTAACTTGATTTCTTACATGTTCTTTCTTTTTGATGTATATTACACGATATTACTGAATAATATTCAGTAGTTAATGTTATTACTAGTCATTTTGAAACTTGTTACCGTGATACTGTAATTTATGGACTTTTGAGCGACGCTAATGTCCACCTACTGACTAGGGCTGAATGAGGGTTTTAAAGCTACACGAAGGATAAGAACTGTGATTTGCAGTTGATGGTGAGGGATAAGAATTAGACTAGGGCTTTCATCATGAACTGACATATGCTAAAATGCTAAGATGCTATTTAGCCAAATCGATTTCTTGGAAATTCTCTCTACTTTTATTAACGTGAACTGTACATGAGTTAATATGATGCAATACGATTGTTATCTAGTCATTTGAAAGATGCACTTTCTCTTTATATATGGTCTAGATGATATAATAACCGTCTGTGTTATTATTGTTGCTTCTCTTAATAATGTCTGTTATGTCCTAAACCGCGCCAAATATCACGTGAATAAATAGCCAATCGAAATATCAACTTAAGTGATTTTGTCACTATGCTGAACCAATGATACGTTAACCAGAACTAACAGCCTAAGGTCAACTCTGAGTCTCAATTGGTTCTTCTCGACTAGCCCTGCCCGTTCAAGTCGAGAACACAATCTCAACAACGACTGTATGAATCATTTATTTCTGACACGTGGTTTATATACAAACACATCAGACTGTATCATACACAAAATCAAGCTAAAAAGTAGTTTTGATTGTGACAGACTGTGACTAATAATTTAGGAATATTTCAAGAATAGTAAATTGTATTATAATAGTCACTAGGTAAAATAAACGTTATAATGAAAGGAATATGAATATACATATAATATAGTTACGTAATAGTCATACAATAAGAATATATATATGACAATCTTTGCATATCTGGGTAGCATCATTGATGAACGCAGTGGATCAGATGGAGATGTGAGGGCGAGGATCGGCAAAGAATGAGCAGCATATTTACAACTAAAGAACATCTGGAACTCAAAACAATTGTCAATCAACACCAAGATCAGAATTTTCAATACAAATGTCAAGACAGTTCTATTGTATGGGGCGGAAACTTGGAGAATGACGAAAGCCATCATCAAGAAGACACAAGCGTTTATTAACAGTTGTCTATGCAAGATACTTCGGTTGCGTTGGCCAGACAATATCAGCAACATTTTACGGTGGGAGAGAACAATCCAGATACCACCCGGTGGAGGAATAAATCAGAAAGAAGTTCTGGAAGTGGATATATATATATATATATATATATATATATATATAGTTCTCAAAAGTTACCCATGATTTGATCTTCGTTAGGATATAACAATATCATATTTCATACAAATCCTGGAATTTGATTTCCAGATTTTATATAGAAATCAACCGTTGAATCAGAAATTCGAAACATAGAAACTGACGAGACATAACAACAAAAACGTCTTAGTTACTTGTCATGCTACGAAACCTTAATGAATCTTTCGATAAATAAGTTTGATAAAAACTTAATCAATAATAATAAAACTTCTAAACTTTCACAAGTAGTGATTTGTGAAACTTAATTTCAAGATACGTTATGTGTATCACTAAGGGGTTGTGGAGATTGCTAGATTTCTGACTGAGATCATGAGTCGATCAATAGTGGACCACCATTGAAAACCCGGAAGCTTTGGATGGCCGCTTCGTCATATTATCGGACTCCTCAGCAGTGCTCGTCAACGATTCCGCAAGGAGAACTAGAACCGACTTTTCCAATCTTAACACTGTGACAAATCAATGACGTTCAACTGGTTTGAGCAGTCTATCGTCTTTATTGGTCCCTTGTCCGCCTAGCCCTTCCAGCCAAGTCAAAAACACCAATTACAGCTTCTGCTATGCGAATCTATGAGAATCATTTATTTCAAGCATACTCGGCTTATATACCAGACAGACAGACCGCATCACATCATAAGATAGAAAATAATGTTTGTACAAGATCAAGTCACATGTGGTTGTGAACATGAGAGACAATAATCAATAAAGTGAACATAATTTAGGGACAGTAATTCGTACAGTAATAATTCATAGGTCAAAATGAAGCTTATAATAAGATGAATATAGATATACACAATCTGGTTACTCAAACGTTATACAATAAGAATATATATAGAATAATAATCCATTAATAAGTCCCAGAAGTTACCTGTACTTATATCTTCACCAGGATATAACATAAACCTATAGGATTTTCTTGCAATTAAACTGAAATTATCACCATTTCATGAACAAATCATCTACTAGTTTCATTATCCCAAGTCAATTATTATTTTTATATAGTTGAAATCATGAGTCAATTGAAGCTCGACCACCATGGAAAACCTGGAAGCACTGAACGACCGTTTCTTCCTATGATGGAACTCCTCAACAGTACGCATCCATTATGCCGCCTCGCGAGATTCAAACCCAGGATCTATCAGTTTCACACGCGAGCGCTTAACCACTAGACCACTGAGCCGGCTACCATCCAACGGTGTTAATGTCTAACTTCAATCAATCAACGAAATCGGATAACCATTCACCAATGTCTTCAGTGAGTTGATATCTTCCGACAGATCTGGTTGAACTCCATTGGTTACGGCTTCTCACTAGAACTCTTGGAAATACTCTGTGGAGCACACATTAGGACGAAACGACCGTCCAGTGCTTCCAAGTTTTCCCTAGTGGTCTAGCTTCAATGGACTCATGATTTCAACTCTATAAAAATTACTAAAATCTCTACAGAACCCCCTTCTGGCAATTATTATTTACCTATAACATGAAATTTATCCATTTTATCAGTTCCATTTGTTTATTTGTTTGTTTTGTTTTTTTGTTTTTCCCTTCCCCACCCCATCCCCCTCTATTTAATAGATCAAAATATGTATGCATCATTTGATAACTTCAGTATTATTTATGTGGATAATGAAAAAAATTTTATCAAAAATCAACCCATTACTTATAAATCAACTAGTGGTAAATTATGTAGTTGTTTTACAAAAAAATAAATATTTTTATTATAAATTAATCATTTATATATATATATATTGAATAGTGAAATATTCTATTTTTTGAGATTTTTGTGTTTCCCCCCCCCCTAATTTGAACATGTAATGAACATATATAATTAACGTTTACTATTATTATTATTACTATTATTATTAGTACTATTACTATTAATATTACTACCATTACGGTTACTATTATTACTATTATTATTATTATTACTATTACCATTATTATTGTTATTACTACTATTACTACTGTAACGATTACTATTACTACTATTACTATTATTATTGTTACTATTACTATCACTATTACTACTGTTACGATTACTATTACTACTATTATTATTACTATTATGATTACTATCACTATTACTGCTATCACTATTACTATTACTATTATTACTATAGCTATTACTACTATTACTATTACTATTAATATTATTATTATTACTATTATTACCATTACTATTATTATTGTTACTATTACTGTTACTACTATTACGATTACTATTATTATTATTACCATTACTATCACCATTACTACTATTACTATTATTATCACTATTATTATTATTATTGCTGTCATTATTATTATTATTACTGTTATTATTATTGGTACTATTATTATTACTACAATTATTATTATTATCATCACTAAGATTACTTTTTATAATCTTATGTTTTTAAAATAAAGTTTAATCTATTGAAGAATTCATTATTACTTAATTAGTTCATTTGGAAAATGATTATAATCATTAGTACTGATGTTTTAAATTATTTTTTCTGGTTAGCGTTTTTTAGGGAGTTAGTTTTTCTATGGGATAGGGTCGCTCACCCCATGCCCAACCCTCTTCCTTTACCCGGGCTTGAGACCGGCAGTAACTCTAGAAGAGCTATATTATCCAGAACTCATATGATGGAGTACAGTGCAAAGTCGTGCATAGGGGATAGCTGACAGATGCATTTCCTATAACGACAGGAGTCAGACAAGGCTGTCTACTATCCCCCTTCCTCTTTCTTCTAGTGATTGACTGGATTATGAGGACTTCAACGTCTGAGGGGAAACACGGAATACAATGGACACCTCAGAATCAATTAGATGATTTGCACTTCGCACATGACTAAGCCCTCCTATCTCATACACACGAACAAATATAGACGAAGGCAACTAATGTAACAGCAGCCTCTGCATCAATAAGCTTCAACATACACAAAAGAAAAAGCAAGATTCTCAAATACAACACGAAGAACACCAACCCAATCACACTTGATGACGAAACTCTGGAAGAGGTGGAAACATTCACGTACCTGGGAAGCATCGTTGATAAACAAGGAAGATCGGATGCAGATGTAAAGTTGAGAATTGGCAAATCAAGGGCAGTATTTCTACAATTGAAGAACATATGGAACTCAAAACAACTGGCAATTAATTTCAAAGTGAAAATCTTCAATGCGAACGTTGAGACAGTCCTACTGTATGGAGCTGAAACTTGGAGAACTACTGCACCCATTGTCAAGAAGGTACAAGTATTTATAAACAGTTGCTTACTCAAGATACTCAGCATTCATTGGCCGGATACTATCAGCAACAGCGTTTTATGGGAGAGGACAAACCAGCTTACAGCTGATGAGGAAATTAGGAAAAGACGTTGGAAGTGGATAGGAAATACATTGAGGAAATCACCAGACTGCATCACGAGGCAAGCCCTAACTTGGTATCCAAAAGGGAAGCGGAAATTGGAAGGCCAAAGAACATATTACGTCGGGAAATAGAAGCAGATATGAAAGGATGAATAACAACTGGCTTGTTTGGGACGGAGTTGGATGGGGAATGCTGGTGAGCGGCCTATGCTCCTCGACGAGGGGTAACAGGCGTAAGTAGGTAACTGATTATTAAAAAATAAGATATTTTAGAAAGTTTAAGTAATAAAATAATAAGTAATGAACAAAATTTGTAGCTTTGTAGTGAATGAGAATATGGGTGGGGGACAACCGAATGTATTTGAGCATAAAATTACAAACCATCTCACTGAAATCTGACAACCATATAGTAAATAGTTAATTTGCAAACTATCAATTAATTGTCTCAATCTTGACTGTTCCTTCTGCAAATATCATTCCATAGTCTCCGATTATTATTGTACATTCATTTTCACATCAATCGCGTTATTGGTCTTCCACTGATGTACATTCAATGCTCGACCATCATTATAGACTAATTATTTGGATATAAGTAACCTACACCACAGCTTGACCATATGTTTTCGTTGGTACTGTATTCCTAGAGGTGGATAGTTTATTTTTTAAGCTTTACTTTAGATGCTATTGAACTGACTTCAAAGGCTCAAAAATTTGAGATTTCAAAGAGAGCAAGAATGAAGATTGTTGCAGTTTGTTTATGTATTTTCAGTAAATCATATTTGTGGAGCAATCGAGATCCACGAGGTCGTAGGTTATTGTAAATGTAATTACCGATCATCATCTTGTTCTTCAAGAGATCTCTAAGTACTTTCGTGATTCTTCGCTCAGTTGAATCAGTTAAGTCCTTGTTACTATTATCTAACTTGAATCTTATATGATCACTAAAAATGGACTTTATCTTAGTGACATTATCTGTTGTGTTCATTAAAACAACACTATAACCTTTATCTGACCGTAATATCATTGTATTATCGTTTCGCTTAATACCTCGTAATACTGTCAGGTGGTCTTTCGATAAAAGTTTAGACTGTGGTATTGGTGAAACGAGGTATTGGTTTGCGATATCAGCTAGTTTAGATTTAAACTAACCTTTCTTCTCTTCACTAACTGGGTGCAAATCTTCAATTTGATCAAATTAATTCTCAAATTGAGTTTCTTTGTTGATTCTGTCAGCATGTATTTTGGGGATATGGAATTTAAATCCATACAACAAAGCTTCTGCATCAATCTTTGTTCCTGCTCACTTTAATGTAATGAAGGGAACTATGTGTATGAAATTCGAGATTTTTCCACGAGGCTTTATAAGTTAGATATTGTTGATCAAATATTTTTCCAATAATGTAAAATCAATAATTGTAACGACTAAGATCTAAATATTTTGGCCTGAAAGCAGGAAAACAAAACGAGGGTACATTTGATTGGGCCAAATCACTGAATTCTCTTGTATAGAGTACGAAGATTTGTTAGGTCATCCACAGTTAAAGAATATTTATTAATGATATTGGAGCCACGTCACTTCCGAAGAATTTAAGCTTTCATCCTGAGGCGTCATAATTCTTCCTTCAACTTCCAGGGTAGATTTTAAATGGTTTAATTTGTTTAATCTGGTTGGCGCTTCTTAGCAAGATTTTTTTCTAAGGGGGTGACGTTCCTGACCCCATACCCAACCTTCCTCCTTTGCCCAGGCTTGTGACCGTCATGAACTCTAGGAGAGCTACAGTTGCAGTTAAAGCATAAATTGGTGCGTGAATATTTATGATACTATTGATTAATAATAAAACATATCAAAATGTCCAAAGTAATTCAACTGTGCTGTTGGAATATTACACACTACGTAAAATAATGCTCTATACAACTAAACGATAACTAAATACAACTGTGAAGTGGCTAAAAATCAAAATTTGTATCTGATGTTTTTTTAGGTAGATCCATTCTCCTCTAACAAAATATACAGAGGTAATGACGCAATTTTCGTTTTTTATTTCTGCCTTACGACAATCAGTGTGTTCATCGATGATACTATCCAGATATGCGAAAGTTATCACCTGCTGCAGATTTTCTCCATCATGTGTTATTGGTTTGGTGTTCTCTGTGTTGTATTTAAGAATCTTGATTTTCCCTTGTGCATTTTGAGGCTTTCCGATGCAGAAACTTCCATTAAACTAGTTGTCTTCGTCTGTGTTTGTTCGTCTGTATGGGACACAGAAGGAAGGTCATCTGCGAAGTCCAAATCTAGTCTGTTGATCAAGAAGTCGTGCGTCTACTGCATATTTCGTCCGGTTGAACAACGCTCTGTTGAAATTCTTTCCTTGCACTGACAATAGTGTGATTCTCCTGTAGTTCTCACACTTGCTCGGATCTCCTTTCTTTGGTATCTTGTTGAAGTATCCTTCTTTCCCGTTCGTCGGCACTTGTTCTACATCCAAAACCTTCCTGAACAGAACATTGAGCATGTTTGCAATTACGTCTATGTCTGACTTCAGTGATTCGGCTGGTATATTATGAGGTTCTGCTGCTTTCCCACTCTTATTTCGTCTGATAGCCATCTTGGTTTATTTGATCGTTGTTAGAGTGACATCTATAGGAAGGTCTGTGTGTGTTGCTTTGGTGTCCGATGGGTTCAGTGTAGTTGTTCCATTCAATAGTTCTTTCAAGTGTTCCACCCATCTGTTCCTCTGCCCTTGAATTTCTGTGATCGGTTTGCCTTCTTTGTCCTTGGCTGGTCTATCTGGTTCACTTTATTTTCTTGCCAGTTTCTTCGTTGTGTCATATAGTTGATTGATGTTTCTTTGTTTTGAAGTCTTTCCCACTGTCGTTGTTTGGCCTTTCACATATTTCCTCTTGTCAGCTCTAATGATCCTCTTCACTTTCTTGTTTGCTAATGTGTATTCCGCTTGCGCCTTGACTTTCTCTGTTTTCATTCGGTTGCTGTTAACGGCTGTCTTCTTGTTCTTCCTTTCTTCAATCTTACTCAGAGTTTTGATAGAGATTCATTCCTCATTATGATGCTTGTTGCGGCCCAGAACCTCTTGACAAGTTAATTTCAATGCTTCTTTGATCCCTTTCCGGTTGTCCTTTGTCGCAGTTTCTTCTTCTCTCAGTAGATCCCGTAAGACTTGAAACCTGTTGTTGATAGCTATCTTGAATTGGTTGTTTGTCAGTATCTCTAAAGAAGGCTGTAACGAACCTTTATCAAGTTGTCCAAGTTGTCATTAACTTCCGTTTCATCTTGACAACCACCAGGCGGTGATCTTTACTGCCATTTATTCCACTGACTTCCTGAATACTTTGATGTATGAATGACCTGGTTCTATGTAGTGTGACCATGTGAGACGCATGCAGCTTCGATAATGCCTTTAATTGGGGATTTTGTGCACCTTCAAACAATTTGTTGAATGCACGTAAATTTGCAAATCTCTTACCACTCCGGTTCATTTCCCCTACTTCATATCGTCTCATGATGTCTTCATTTCCGGTGTTTTCCATTCCGACTCTAGCGCTTAGGTCTTCCATCAAGATTGTCAAGTCC